TGATGCCTGTCTCCCAAGGAGCCTGGACGTCCCAGGCTCATGATGTCATGATCTGTCATGGAGAAACCTGTTTATGGTCATCTGTTTTAATCTTCAAAGTGATTCTGTAAATTAGGCCAGCATTGCATGATTGTCACAGATGAGGAAATACAAGTTAACTGAGATCACATAATTAGTACATTCATAGTCAGGATTCTGGTGTCTTTTGACTCCAAGACACCTTCTCTCTCTACCATGTTGAGTCACCTTAAAGGATCAAATCAAAACAAAGTTTTAAGTTTTTATAAAGGTGCCTTTTTAAAAATGAAACCCAGCCCCTGGTGCCAGTGTCACACTATGCTATAATTATTTGTTCCCTGAACCAGGCAGGATTCTTTGACAATAGGAGTTTTTCTTTTTATTATGAAAAATTTCAAACTTATGCAAAGTAAGCAAACCCCCATGCATACAACTTCCACAATTATAAGTGTTCTGTCATTTCTTTTAAGATTTAAAAAATGTTTAATTGTAAAATATGTGTAAAATGTCTCATCTTAATCATTTTTAAATGTACAATTCAATGACATTAAGTACATTCAGATTGGTGTACAACCAGCTTCCTTTCATCTCCAGAACTTTTTCATCTTGCAAACCTGAAACTCTGTCCTACTAACTCCTCACTGCCCTGCACACTCTAAGTACACTGTACCAGTGGAATTATATGGTAGTTGGTTTTTTGTTTTGTTTTGTTTTGTCTGACCTACTTTACTTAGCGTAATATCTTTAAGGTTCATCCATGTTGTAGCGTGTGACAGATTCCTCCATTTTTACAGGTTAAAAATATTCTATTGTGTGTAAATACCATATTTTGTGTATCCATTCATCTGTAGGTGCACTGTGGGGTTTCTTTCATCTTCTGGCTATTGCTGCTATGGTTAGAATGCCCTGCCATTCTTGTGTCATCTCTATTTTCATCCACTCCCCTTTCCTCATCCAGTTATTATTATTTATAAGAACTGTATTTTATTTATCTTTTTATTCCTCCTATACAGAACCTGGCACATAGGAACTGCTTTTTAAATGTTTCGATGTATGTATGGATCTTCCAACATCGTTTTGTTTTTTTAATTTTAAGCAAGGTCTTAATGTTTTTTTTTAATTTTAAGCAAGGAAACTGACAGGTGTTTCTGCCCCCTGTCTCTAAGAATTTCATAGTAAAAATACATATAAATTTTTGATTAAAATTACATTTATAAAAGAAAATAATGATTTACTACTTTAAGTGTGGGTCAGCAGAACAAGGACAGTTGCTGAAGAAGCTGTTGGGAGGTGGCATTTTCACACCGGCACTGACAGTGCTGAGAATAAAGTCATTTATTTCTGGAATTCTCAAAAACCTTTGGAATCACCAACTTCACCTGTTAACAAAGACTCAACTCATTAGCGATGGAGTTTTTGATTGATTCCATATGTCAAGAAGATAATCCAAGAGTGAAACTTGTCTTTTTGTAACAAAGTCTTTGATAGGGTTGAGCAGCTGTGTTGCACTGTCCTTCGGGTCATGGATGAAAACTCCACTAATGCCATCTAAGCGCGAATACTCACGGCCTGACTTCCAGGCATTAACATCACCACCAGCCAGTAGCCCCAGAATCTAGAGTGTCACTTAAGACAAGAGGTTTAATCAATCTAGTAAGAGAACTAAATCAGCCCTTCTTGCAAGGAAGGGAATTGACGAGATACCTTGCCTCACTCCTCTGCACTGCAGGGGGTAAGCATGGGGAGTGGCCATGCCAGTTGCAGGACAAGGATGGACAAGTAGGAAAATGGCACTGTGTCCTCACCTTGGACTTGTGACAGGAAGAGCCTTTGCAGCAGTTTACTTACTCCCTGAAGCAGCTTGTGTCTGAAAGACTGCACTGTGTGTCCAGGAGAACCTGAAGGGAGGTTCTACCTTTAAAAAGAACGTTCCTGAGTTGGGCATGGTTGTGCACACCTGTAATCCCAGCAACTCAGGAGCTGAGGCAGGAGGATGGCAAGCCTGAGGCAGCCAGCCTGGGCAATGTAGGATAAATCTCAGTGATTGAACACCTCAGGGTTTCAATCCCCAGTACCGGGGCAAGAGAGAGAGAGAGAGAGAGAGAGCACACCCCTGCTCTCCAGCAGGTATCTGAGGGCAAACAGAACTGAGACTTCAGAGTAAAGCCACCTCTACTATCACCCATGTGTGTGATGGAGACCACTAAGAGTTAGACCCTAACTTTACCATTTCCAAGTCACCCAGGTTACCTCAGTTATTTCTGTAAATGTTGAGTGTGATTCCTGATTCACTGAAGTTCTCAAATTGGAAAACAGAACTGTGAAGTGTATAGCACAGTGTCCCCAGAGCTTACTATCAGATGACGCACACTGTGATTCATGTCATTGTCTTAGAAAGGGAGTCACTTGAGGGGAACGATGTCTCTGTGAGAACACTGAGCAGGACTGAGTGACTGCAACACAGAGACTCGAGTTTGGGAGGAGAGTCCAGGCAGACGGAATAGAACTGGTAAAAACAAGGAAAAATGTGGGAACAGATATGGCATATGATCAGAGCATAATTTGGCACAATAGGTATATAGGTAGCAGAGGCAAAGGGACATGTGGACTCAGGGAAAGAAAGGCAGGGTCAGCTTGGAAAGGGTCTGCTTGCCTAATTTAGGAGCACGTCCTTTCCTCCCCACGCAGAGTGCCTGGGATATGCCACATCTGTTATTACATGTGCAGGGTTGAGCAAGTATCATTCATGCCTTCGTGAAGCATCTCATTTAGTAGAAAAGAACATGCATGAATCAGATCATCACACAGAGGTGACATCTGTGCAGTCCTATTCTCGAGTGGGATATTCACATGATCCAATTTGCATTTTAGAACTTACTCTGGCTAGAAAAATTGGAGTAGACAATAAGGAATGAGACAGGAGAGGGACATAGAGGTGAGCCAGCAATCCAGGCTTATGCCAGGGTGCTGGATGGCAAGCAGGGAATGAGCATGTGAGACTCTTCACAGGTGGATTGGAAGGACTTGGAAGTCTGATAGATCTGTGGTGGCCCCTAAGAATACTGGGAATACTGCTGATTAAGAAAGAAAGAAAAGCAGGTTGAGGTGTAGTTCTGATGGAATAATAATTAAGAGTGTGGGCCATTTTGAATTTGAAGTGCCAGTGCATTCTCCAGGTGTGGACTGATGCGTGTAGATTTGGAGGTGTGGAAAGGTAACTGAACTGAAGATGTTTATCTGGAGTTGCCAGGATTCAAGTGATACTGTGCCATGGATGAGATCATCTGGAGAGAGAATAGCCCTGCCATGGTCCCACGGGTGAGAAGCAGAACTTCCAAGCCACAAGAATGGAATTCCAGCTGGACTTCTGTTTATCATTAGTAGCTGGTCCTTTGGCTATTTGGCAAGGAAGATGGCAGTCCCTGCCAAAGTAATAAATGTTATGAACAGCTCTGTCTTTTTTTCCAGAGAACTATTTTTTTTTCTCATACACAATACAAAGTTTGATTTGTTTTCCTTCTTGCTTTGACAGCCAGGGAGCTCAGAGCTAACTTTGTAACCTAATTTTAGAAACTGTATAGGACCTATGTACCCAGGCACCCTATTCCCAAATAAATACATTTTATATAATTATGTATTTCCCAACCCTGATTTTTCTTTGTAGTCTTGGGTGCTTACATAAGGTGCCTTGAGTCCTTTGTGAAAGTTGGTAGTGCATACTATATAAAAATACTCCTTCCCCTGACCCTCGCGTCCTTGGGTCATCCTCCAGCCTGTGCAGTGTTTGCCCAGTTGCTGAGACTAGTTGGCTAGTTGTCAACTAGACTGAATCAGGAGGAACTCTTGGAACTTAGAGAGCTAGACAGTAAATTTAACACTCACGTAACTCATTAAAAAAGGATGAAAGTGGAGCTTCAAACATCTCTGTGTTTGCCACCAAGTCTGTGAAGGGGTGGGGACACCCTTAATTCAACTCAAGATGTAAAAGCCCGATCTTTCAGAATTGAGAATACACTGCTGAAATTAAAGACTTAGCTATGTAGATAAATACTTCACATGTGTTCAAAGAGAGATCGAGGTGTTGACTGTACAGGATGGGATTTTTAAAAGCATAGGGTATCATTTTCTTGACTTATAAAATGTAGTTTGGTGAAAGCAAACTTCTTTATCAAACAACTTTTAAGCACAAATTGACTTGATGGGGGGATAGATTTTATTTTTGATCATCTTGCTTTTTAAAATAATTAATTATTTTTAAATTTTAGGCTGGGCATGATGGTGCATGCCTGTCATCCCAGCTTCTCAGAAGGTTGAGGCAGGAGAATGTGACTTTGAGGCCACCGTGACCAACTTAGCAAGACACTGTCTCCAAAACAATTAAATAAAATAAAATGATAATTTGCTATAGGTAACAATCAGCATAAGTGGTTTTCAAACTGTGTTCCACAGCTGGTGTCCTATGAACAACAAAGGTATGTGAGAGATGGGAGTAAGGAGAAGGCCACCAAGCAAGGAGAGCCCAACCGTGGCCCCCCTCCTCCCAGCTCCCAGCACAGCAGCTCAATTCTGCCTTATGTAACAGGCTTTTTCTGCCTGAGTATCTATCTGAATATAATGTTCTGCTCCTAACACTGGAAATAAACCAAAAAAAAAAAAAAAAGTTTGGAAATCATCATAGTGGAAGACATATTCTCACTAACTTGCTATTGAGATTTGACTGTCACTAATACAGAAGAGGAGGAATGGGGGCTTTGGAATCTGACCCTGAGTTCCCGCTGTACCTCCTCATCTTCTGTGATTGGGGGTGGCCCTTTCTTGAAATAGTGTTCCCACCCCTAGACTAGAATGATTTACATAATAATGACGACTTCACTAATGAAAATTAGGTAAATGAGCAGATGTGAAAGCGGCCAGAAGGAGGGTAAGCACTGATTCCTTTCCCTTCAAGCCTCCAACCCTCCTGTCCCTTCTTCTTTTCCCAGGAGGAACCCATCACCTTCTGTGAAGAAGCCTTCGTTTCCCACTATCGCTCTGGAGCCATGAGGCAGTTCCTGCAGAATGCCACACAGCTTCAGCTCTTCAAGCAGGTGCCCAGCTTCCCTGGGGGCCTGCATTTGTCCCAGCAGGGATTTCTGCAGCTGCCTTCACACTGAGCCCTGAGACTGAGCAAGGAGGGGACCCAAACCTGCAGGCCCAGGGGAGGGTGACTGGATGAAGAGGGTGGCCAGCCATCAGACAGTCCCTTAGCAAACATGATGGGAGGTTTTCTAAGTTTCATAAATGTGTCGGCAGGTTCGTAGAAAACTCAGTGTTGAAGGGCCTTTCCTATACTGGAAAGCATGGCTGTTCTTTGAGCATGCACCGAGGTCCCCAACTGGATGGTTTTTCCTGTTTCTGTAGACAAGCTGTTGTGCTTTTGCTTTTCCTCTAGTTTATTGATGGTCGATTAGACCTTCTCAATTCTGGCGAGGGTTTCAGCGATGTTTTTGAAGAGGAAATCAACATGGGCGAGTATGCAGGTGAGAAGCCTCCTTTTCTTTCTGGGTTGTGGATGCTGTAGGCCAAGGTGTTCTTGCCACAGATGGGCGTGGACTTCATTTCTCCATAGTTAGGGATTGGGAGGAGACTGGTTGCAACCTTGGCCTTAAAACAGCTGGAGAATTCCTCTTCAGTTTTCATAAGATGCACATTGGCCCATATGAACCCTCTGCTTAGGAGTTAGCTGTTTCTGCTGGGTAGAGGTTATTTAAATTGTAGTGGCCTGTATGATGCAGGGAAAGCACATGAGATATTGAATTAGGGGACTTGGGTTCAAATCAGAACCCTGTCCCCTTGCCAGCTGCTTGTTTACACACTGAGAGCAACACACTGAGTTAGACCTCTTTCTTTACTACCCAACTAAAAGCTCCTTGAGGGCAGAATTGGGTTTACACACTGAGAGCAACAATGCACACCCCACAAGATTCCCGAGGAGTTGGGATCAGAGCAGGGTGTAGTCACCCAGTTTAGTCCTCAGTATAGGGCCAGTGCTCAGTAACTGTTTCTTTAAAATGCAAAAGTCATTGCATGATGCCTGGTCTCTTTAAAACTGGAGGATTGTCTTTAATTTTTCAGGGATGGCATCTGAAGCCCAGAGAGATTCTAGTGGCTGACCCTACCTCCTGAATCCCAACCTGGCCTTCTTCTTAGGTCCAGTGAGCGGGCTCAGTCTTGCAAGAATAATAACTTATAGACTTAGTCTTTGGATATAAAATAATAATACTTATACTGCCAGCCCCTCTTATTGCTGGACATATCCAGTCTGAATCATTCAATAACGCAAGCAGTGTACAATCCCACAAAACCAGGCATGGCTTCCACCTGTGGGTATTACAGGGCCTAGCAGCCTGTGCTGCACGGGGAACACAGTTGATTAATAAAACCACTATAGTGGCTGCAGTCACTAATGGCAGATTGTTGATAAGCATTTCCTGAACCCCTGTGTCCAGAGTTGGTAAATAATGGAGGACTTAATTCTGCCTTCAAGGAGCTTTTAGTTGGGTAGTAAAGAAAGAGGCCTAACTAAAGACAGATAAAAATTAAATGAGTGCAGGTAAAGGAGTAGAAACAGGTTTTTGTTCAGCTGGACTAGGACTCTCACTGCATACTGTGGGAGCTTCCCAAGGGGACAGGGTTTGAGTTGGCTTCTCACCATAGGATATCAGTCCCAAAGAGAAGTTGAGTTTCGTGTGTGACTAAACTAAGTGCAGTCATTCAGAGCTTCTAATAGAGCTGTCTCCTCATGAGACCTCCTTAACCCACCAGATGAAATAAGCAGAGTTCACCCTCAATGCCTCCTTTTTCTTTTTCTGTCACTAATCAAGTGTACTAAGGGCTGAGTATGTGTCCAGAGGGTCCCTACATGGAGACACACAGCTCTGGTGGTTCCTGCTCTGGCATGGGTCATACTACATCTAACAATTAGGACTTATAAGTGGGTATTACCTGTACTAGAGGGCTCTTCAGAGGAAGAGGAGGAGGCTTCTGGAGAAAATGATATTTCAATTGGTTGTTGAGCTTACTGAGGCAGAGAGAATAAGAAATGGTACCCAGGCACAGGAACAGCATTTACCAGTGCTGAAGGACTGAGAGAGACTACTGTTTGGGAGCCCTAGGTGGTATTTTGTGTTAGAGCAGAGACAGTACAGAGCGTAAGCACAGGACAGAGTGGCAGAGAGTGGGGAGGCCAAGTCAGGAGACGAGGGGAGAAAGGCAGGGTTGCTCTAGAGACTGACCTCACTCCAGTAGGCAGTGGGGAGGCTTTGAGGGTCTGTAGTCAGGGCACTGATATGAACAGCTCTCTATTTGAGCTAGAAAGCTGTGACCATGACTCATTACTGCCTTCTTCATGGAGTGGGACATGGAGTCTCCAGGTGGTTCTCTAGACTTTGAACTTTCCAAGTCCTGCATGCTGAAAGCAATTTAAAGAACTCTTTAAATCACAGTCTCTCTGATTCTCTTTTCCCAGGCAGTGATAAACTATACCATCAGTGGCTCTCTACCGTCCGGGTAAGTATGCCCCATTCAGAGCCACATGGCTTCCTCCTTGGCCTTCTGGCAGCCCTCTGCCTCCCTGGCTACTCACAAAGCTTCTGTGAGGCCCAGAGTACCCCATTCTTCCCACCAGAAGTTGCTTTTGTCTTAAAACTAGGCCATTCTGTCCAAGGGCTCTCTTGTTGGGGCAGAAGGAGGTAGGAGAGAGTCTTCCTCTTCAAGAAGCCAGCCAAAGCCTGTTGAATTGAATTTTGTCATCCTAGAATGTTTCTGGGAGTCTCCTTCTAGGGCCAGTGCTATTGTCACAATCATGGGGCAACCAAAAATGTGTCCCTCTTGCTGTTCTGCAGTATTTTCCGAAGCAAAGGCTCCTGGGAAGATGAAGAATACATCCCTGATTTTTTCTTCTCCTCACTGTTGTTATTGTGCTACAGTTTCTTATTGTGTCAGGAGCCAGGTGGTTAGGATTTCCAGAACCTCTTCAGGATTCAAATCTTGCCTAACCTTTCCATCCATTTACATTTGAGTATGTACTGAAGGCCTACTCAGTGCCAGGCAACAGCTGTGTCTTGGGGATAAAGAGGGGAGCAGGAAACAGGCCCTTCCCTGGGGGAGTGCCCCCATCTTGTTGGGGAGGTAGGCACGTAAACAAGAAGCTCCAACATAATGTGATAAGTGTTCTCTCCTGCTTCAGGGCCAAATGCACCACTGCCAAGGCAGGTCCCTTGGAAGTGGCTGCATTTGGCCAAGAGTGAGCAGCAATTCCTCAATGAAAGCCTTCCTTTGTCCTTCTTGTATGGCCAAACACAGCACTTGGCATATCTGAGGTGAGCAATAAGGACTTGCTGATTGATTGATAAAGGGGGTTTCAATACTCCAAACATCCATTTAAATAGGATCCTGAGTAATTTTGGAAGGCAGTATGGAATAAATGAGAGGGTGAGAATTTGCTATTGTCAATGTAGAGCGCTTTCTGGGTCAAATTGTGATGTTTTTAATTAAAGTCCAAAATTTTTAATGTGGGCAGTAACCAAAAATTGTACTAAATGTTAAGTCAATAATTACAATACTGTCTTATTTGGTTATGTACCCACTGGTTCCAGTCTCTCCATTCGAATCAGTTGGATTAACTTTCCAAACCACCACAAATCAGATTATATGATACATTTGATTAAAAACTCTCCAGAGCTTTGACCCCTTAGCCAGACATTCCCAGCTTCTCTTGAGCTGTCCCCATAAGGCCCCTCAGCCTGGCTCTGCTCTTCCTGAGATACAGTCCATACCTGCATACAGCATAGTCACTGCTGTCACTCCTACAATATAGCGCCGCTTTTTGGCTTCTGCACTTTTTTCTGTGCTACTTCCTATCTCAAGAATGTTCTTATCCTCCTGCTTCCTCCCTACTCGTCCTTCATGGGCCAGGTCAATTGTATTTTGATCTGCAGCCTTCCCTGACCTTCCCTGTCTCTGTGCTCCCTGTATGCAGTCATTACAGCTCTCATCACCTGATGCTTCAGCTCTTTGCCCCAGCATGCCTTGCCCTCCCCAGACTGCATATCTTTAAGATAGAGACCAGGTATCCTTTGGCTCAAGGCCCTCAGAGCCTAACACAGTGGGACCTCACCACACCTGTAGGGATGAGACTAAAGAACAGACTTATGGATAGCTCTGGAAACATGGTCTACTCCTAAAGACGATGAACAAGACATTGGTGTGGTAGATTTGTACTAAAGCCGTGTTAACATTATGGCCATTCATTCTTTCCTTCTCTAAAGATTTGTATGTTAGGGAAGGCAGCCTACCAGAAGTATCTTAAAAACCAGTAACACAGAAAACTCAGGTGAGGAAAGGAAGTTGCTTGGGTGAGGGCATTATATTTCCCAATGGTCCTGGTTGATCAGGACCCAATTTTCTGCCCCAGATTGGTGTCAGCTGGAGAATTCACAGCCATGAAACTTACTTGAATGCAGTAACTAGAAAGCTTTGAAAAACTGCCTGACTATGAGAAAAACCTTACCTGAGAGAGCCTGGGACAGGAAACACGTGCAGATTAGAACACTGAGCCTAACACCCCCCTCAACTAGTTATCACAGTCCTCATTGCACATACACACACCCAGAGCAATTCTGCCATAACCCTATGACTGCCCCTCTCGGTAACCATCTGGGCCTGTTTCTCTACTTACAACCCATGCCCTTAAAATGTTGCCTGACTTGATAAAAGAGAAGAGGACTTTGTTGATGTTGGCCTACTCTATCTTCAGCCCACATTGCTGATTGGTGTTTTTATTATAGAAAGGAAGTGGAGCAATTCTGAACACTGTAAAAACAAAAGCCAACCCAGCCATGAAGACCGTCTACAAGTTCGTAAGTACAGGTGTTAGTCTCAGGATCCAGGCAGATCAGTTCCTTAGCATGACCAGACTCTTAAATACACCCAGTCCCCTATTATAGAGCAACTTGGGAGCTGCTGTGCTATTTCCTAATGACATTGATGCTCTGATAATTATTTAGCATTGTTTTTCTTATGACTAGGTCAGTGATCTTTGTAATTTAAAGTATGGCTCGTCACAGTCACTGCAATAGAGAAATGGGAGGCTACTGGTTTTAGCTTTTAAATTTTGGAGTGATCGCTAAAATTCAGACTGCTCCATGTATTCCTGAGACCCAGAGGCATGGTCTATCAAGTGTCCTAACATACCTTTCCTATTTGTGTCCTCATTATTATGTCAAAATGAAGCAGCTCCTTTGCAGGTTACTGAAGAGTGTGGCAGGAATACCCCCTAATTTTTGTCCCAATTCTTCATCATCTCTCTCATCACTGCCCTATAGGAAATGCATTATTTGTGAGACTCGTGCCCACAGCAGAATGAAAATAGGAGAACCCATCAGTTCCTGGTGCTCCATCTTTTACAAGCCTCAAGTATTTTTTCTTGTGATTTCTCTTGCTTGCTAATTTGACCCTGAGCCACTAAAATGGGGTGGTTTTGAGTTAGTTTTGTTTTTAATTATGGTAGTGCTTTCTGTGCTTACATTGTAGCTCTTATAACAGGGTAGGTGGCTGCTAACACTACCAAACGGGTCTAAAATGGCATAAAGTAAAAGCAAGTGGTGTCCACAGAAATGAGACCTAGGAAATGGCATCATGGAAACCCAGTAGTGTGTCTGTATGGCCATTCGGCCTGGGCAGAAAATTGGCCCTGAGGCCCTACCATAGTGGAATAGAATGGATATTTTGATTCTTAAGCAGCCAGTGAAGCTGCCCTTCTACTCTTACTGGTAGATGTTACCAAGCTGCTGAGACAAATAATTAGAGAGCGCCCAAGAAGGGCTTGAGAAGGGGGTCGGGGGGGAATCTGTGCCATCAAAATGTAGAAAATACAATCTCTGCAACCCCTTTAGGGGACTTTTTTTTCTTAACCTTTTACTATTGTATTTGTTTTCATAGCCATTATGTTTTCGACTTGATGATCCCATTTTTTCTTCCTTTTTCTAGTAATCAGAGAAGGTGATTCGCGATGGACTGAAATCAAGCATAGTCCCTGCTGGAAACAGAAAGGGAATCTTAACTTAAATTAATTTTTCATGCAGGCAAAAGATCATGCAAAAATGGGAATAAAAGAGGTGAAAAACCGCTTGAAGCAAAAGGTACTTGAAGTTCTTATTCAAAATGTATAAGCACCGTGTATGAAATGCGTGGCCACAAAAAAGTAGGATGTGATCAATAGAGGGCTGTTTGATACAGTGTTGTTAGCACACTTCAAAATGCATTACCAGCTGTCCGGGAGTTTTCACACTGTTATAAATATTCACAGACAAAAAACTGTCTTCAAATAACATTAAGACTCTGGCGTAAACCCACAAAGGCGAGCAAGTTCAGCGTTACCACTATTGGTCTGTCCCCTCCCTGCCCCACCAGGCCTGGAGTTCACAGATACCCTTAGAAATTAGCTCAGACACATCCCAGCACCACTCTCTTCCTCCAGCTGCCCTCTGCCCCTATGCTTGTCATAATCCAAACCAAGAAATCCCTAGGTAAGAACCGCCCTGGACCCATGGTGCACATGGCCACCGTGCAGACACATGCAAAGGGGAGCTGGAGGAGGGTGCTGCAGACTCTCCCATCATGGTGTAAATGAGAGAGGAGCCCAGCAGTGTGTTTGAGACTCTGCACAGGGAAACAGTGGCTCTGATTGTCTTCTTGGACCATCATTAAGATTATATGAAGTCACACTGGCCATTCCCAGCGCAGATTCTGCCAACCTGAATCTCTAGACATTACGTGAGGCTACTATGACTAGGAGAGGATTTTCACATGATTGCAACGTGATTATTATTGCCACCTTTTGTTAAGTACTTGTTAAGGATGGCCCAGGCCAGGAGCTCTCGCATTTAATCCTTTGAACAACCCTGTGTGGTATTATCCCGTTTCATGAGCAAAGAGATTGTGGTTCAGAGGTGAAGTCATTTGCCCAAGGCCACACTGTGGAAGCCTAGCAGAAATGGGATTGGATTCCAAATTCATCGGCTCTCAGCTTCTGTGCACTTGCTATAGTGCTTCACACTACCTTCCTAAAACAAGTGTTTGGTTTTCCAAATGATAGCTGGGGTTACTTACTTCATTATCTCTAAGTCCCAAATGTATCACTCTTAACAAGGGCCTTTGTCTGTCTTGGCAGTTTTTTTAAAAAATTGAAAGCAGTTTCAATTTTATGAAGTCAGAAAGGACCTCTAATTAACTTGAAATAGTCGAAGGAATTGATTCCCTTCTTTTAATTGGAAAATAATTTGCTCCAACTAAGCATTTAAATTCTTAGTTTCAGCTGACAATGAATTCTTAACAGCTGAGATTCACCTCCTGCAATACAAGCCCTGTACTGTGAACCCAGATAGCCCTTGACTAGCCTGCCAGGGGCTGGCAGGTAGGATTCTTCACCTGGATGGTGTTTGAGTCACTAAATATACCTCTTCATCTCCTATCCCAGTGGCATGCATCCAAGTGGCAGAGAGGGGGCTTCTCTTCTGTGTCTTCTGTGTCTCTTCAGGGGAGAAATATCACCTGAAGTAAGCAAAGACAGGGGTCCCTCCTCAAACCCCACACAGATGTGGCACATGATTCCCACTTCCTCTGTGCAGACCATGAAGCTGGAGGCATCACCTTACCTTCCTACTAGAGTGTGCAGGCATCTGGCCTCCAGAAAACCCCCTTTCTATGAAAGGTACCCTTTCTGGAAAAAAAAAAAAAAAAAAACAGTAAAGCCCAGTTTTTTTAATGTGTTTGTTCAAAGTTCATTTAAATAATCTAGATTACGTTCTTTCCATGCCACCTCCCATTCTGTTCCTTGATGGTGTCTAAGCCGATTTTCCCCTCCCCTTCTCTTCCCCCTGCCAGTCTTTTCAAGAATAGCTTCAGGAGATAATGTTCTATAGAGAGTGTCAGTGTATTTCAGGTGACACAAGCGGTGAAGGCATTTTATAGAAATGTGGCTTGTCACCATTGGACTGTTGACAGATCTATTAGTGCACCCTTTTCAATTTTCACTTTTCCCCCCTTTGGTCGTACAGATTTCCACAGACCTGATATTTTGCAGTTGTTCTTGGAAGAGCTGTTTTGTAATTGAAACTCTAGCATTGTTCAGTACATGCAGGCCCCGGGTCTCCAGCGCTCTCCAACTCCCTTTCTTGAGCTAATTTAGGATTTGGCTTCGCCTGACCTCTCTCACTGCAGTGGAAAATATTTCCTTGACTTTTTTCTTCCCCTCCCTTCCACCCTCTCCCCTTTACACAGAACCTATCTATGTGGCTCCCCTGAAGCATCTAATACAGACATCTCAAGTTTGGTTTCTGCTCTGAAATTGAGGCAGTTCCCAACAAAGATCCAATTTTCAAATGTACTGGGTTGCCACCTCACCTCCTCTAACTCTGCATAGCAATGGTGACCTCGCAGATATAATCAAGAACCCAGTCTTGCCCTCTTTGCTCTTGCCTTGGGTTTGAATTGCAAATAGAAAATGTGGGGCTGACCTGTGGAGAGGTCATCACGGTGTATGGAGGGTCCATCTCTAATGTGACTGAGCAGGGCCCCTTCTCCGTCCCTTGTTCATTTGTGCTGCAGATTTTCAAAGCATCTGAAAGAGGAGCTTTCAGGATATCTGTGACCATTGGCAAATAATTGTTCATAGATCCTATAGCATGGCTTTATTCCACACCTGCTCTGCTTCTGCCCAGCAACAAAAAAAGAAAGATGGAGAACATATTTCTCTGGATAAATGGAGCAAGGTGGTCAAGTTCTGCTCCAGTTTGGCCTCCTTTGAAATCTGACTTGCTCAAAATTAGGAAGAAGAAATGGCAAGGATGCGATGTAGCTGTCACTTCCTAGGGGAGAACATGGTGCCTCCATGGAGAGTGTGGCCCTGCCAAACCCGCTCTGCAGAAGAATGTCAACAAATTGCCTTCTGCTGCGGCACCGAGCCATGCTGGCATGAGGGGACCCTGTGATAGCCACATAACCTTCCCTCACCTGCAGGGAACATTCAAATACATAAGGATGTTTACTGAGGAATCCCTAAAATTTTTGTCTTTTTTATTTAGTATCCGAATATGTAACCAAATGGGCCCATTTCACAGCCCTTTGTATAGTTTCTAAATCCCTGATCTTTTAAAGACAAGTCAAGCTTGTTTAGAGTCTCTGTGATTGAAAGGAGCAAATTCACAGTTGGCTTGAATTTCTGGCCAAACATTTCTGAGCGCAGTGAGGGAGTGAGCCAGCACATGAGGGGCAAGGAGAGCCAGGTAGACTCTCATAGCACAGACATTTTCACACCTTATCATACGACTGTCAGCTCCCTGTCTCCAGACACATTAAAATACGCTGCAGCCTCAATCACACAGACTCCAACTTTGGCTACTAGTTTGATATCAATATTCATATTTTAATTTACATTTGGTGTGGTGGGAGGTAGGCTGGGAAAAGGAGGACGCAGCATGAATCTCAAAGTAGAGAAGGTAGCACTCCCATCAGCAAACTAAGTCAGACACAATACTGCTGCAGCCTCACACCTAGGGTGCCTTTAAACTCCTCAAGACAGAAATGTGGCATTTGAGCTTCTGAGGCAGAAAAGCCAGTTCAAAGCTGGAACATTAACTGTGTGGCCTTGGGTGAGTTACTAGACCTCTCTGAACCTAGTTTTCCTCATCCATAAACTAGGGGAAATACCAATTTTTGTTGGGTTGTCAAAAGGATTAGAAGAGATAATGTGTTTAAACAGCAGCACTTAGTAGCCCCTCCACAAATGAGAGTAGTGATTCTGAGTGTTTTCTTATATCTCATATCCTGATAAATAGCTTCATATTGCTCATGCCACCATTAGAGCAAGGTGTCTAGAACAGCTCTGAGGGAGCCCTCCCTTGGTTATGACCTTCCCAACCTTGCAAACCTCCCACCTCATTGCCCAACAGGGAGAAGGATGCATCAGCCATTCCATATGAAGGCTCTGCTCTCCACCTTCTATCCCTCCTGTCCTCCTCAGCTCCTCCAAGTCCACACAGACCCCTGCTGTCCTTGTAGATCCTGAGAGTCTGAGTTGCTGCCTCCCTGACTGCTCATGGAGGTCCCAGGATATCTCAGACCCCTTCTTGCCTATCTTCTCTGAAAAGGTGGAGTTTAGCTCTGACGGACTTTTTATCGCACAAAACGCTTAGGGAAGATAATAGGAATAGAATTATATTCCGCCCCTTTCATCACTACTGAGGGATGAGGTGTGGTAGAGCCCCGTGCTCAGAGCCTCAGGGCTCCTGAGAGAGATCTGCCACCCTGCAGTGGCCTCTGATCTGCAGCTCTGTCTAGTGTCTTCCTTCTGTGTGACCCTTCAGGAAGGAATAGGCTTACCCTTCCCATCAGTCTCTTGCTTTTGCTTTTTAAAAATGACATTTAGAAGGTCAGTTTTTCCCTGTTTGCAAACAAAATACATGTTTATTGAAGAAAATTCAACAAATCAGAGAAGCAAAAAAACAAATGATCTCATTTCATAGCCTACATTTTCACTTAGTATATCCTGAGCATAACCCAGGCCACTATATATTTCTTCCATTTGTCATTGTTTTAAAGGGCTCCAAAAATTTTATCTGATGGGCACCTAAGTTCCAATTTTTTAGGCAAATATTCTCATAAGACTGTGCAGCAATTTTTATTCTTTAGTTAGGATAAGTGTCTAAAAATGAAAATGGTGGGCCAAAGGACATGTGCATCTTTTAGGTCTTTTGTATAAATTGCCAGTTTGTATTCCCACCAGAAGGGGATGAAAAGCTACTGCCCAGGTCCTCTGCGGCAGCCAGTGAGTTCTTAGACTGCAGCTTTCTCGGTCATGGATGGACACTGCTGCTGCCCGGGTCCGTGCAGATCTTCTGCTGGTAGGTGCAGCAGAGGCTGCACACTGTTCCTGTTTTTTTCTTGACACGGCTCTTCCTGCTCTGCTCCCTGTGGCATCGAGGAGGAAGCAGTTGTCCTTAGGTAGAGGAAGTAGTTGTCCTTAGGTGAAGGAAGCAGTTGTCCTTAGGTGGAGGAAACAGTGACAAAGTGAAAAAAATCAGTGAGCCACAACCTTCATAAGAAATGAAATTCACAAGAAATTTTATGGCTCTGAATCTTCCAAGTAAAATGAATGTACAGCACTGCTTTTTAATACCCAGGCACATTTGTATATTGCACACATTTGCCTTCCAAATGTTCAGCTAAATTTTATAAAGATTTACTACAGAGTGAGTGCTAGATTTAAAAGAATCCAGGATAGAGAACCCAAACCCTAAGAACTCACCGTCTGTGGGGAATCACAGGTAGCATAGGGTGTGGTGGATTATGATCAGTCTAGAGCTGGGGTGTAGCTTGGTCATTGAGTACTTGCCTAGCATGTGAGAGGAACAGGTTTTGATCCCTGGCACTGACAGAAAAAAAAAAAAATAATCTAACAAGAAGGGTTGCCAAGGAGAGAGAGGTCACTCCTGATGAGGTGGTAAGTCCTCTATCAGTTCAAGAGCCATTATCATGTATGCTAGTTTCATGAGTCAATGTGGCATAATTGCCAGGATTGATAGTTCTAGGTTCCTCTGCTTCCTAGCAGTGTGGCCTTGGATAAGTTATTCTCTCTGAGCCCTACTTCCTTACCTATGAAAAAAGTATACTCCTGTTTACCTTGTGATTATCATAGGGACTATGTGAAAACAAAGGTCAAGGGTCCAGAAAAGTGCCCACCAGGGCAGGTGTTCTCCAGGGAAGCTTTCTGTCCTTTGTAGGAGGAAGTGTCTAATGTTCAATTTTCATAATGCTTAGACATTTTTCAAATCCTCCTCATATCTCATCTAATTTAACCCATCAGCCAGTAGCTTGGAAATTTGCCAAACAGGTTATAGTCTCCTCATTGTAAAAACAAAGAAATAGTTGTGGAGAGGTTGAGTAAATTGGAAAGATTAGATGATTGATGGTAAAAACAAAGCTAGGATACACTTTTCCAAAAACAACCACATGCATTTTCTTTTTTAAAACACCTATTATCTTGTAGTTTCTTAATTATTTTCTTACCATGCTACCTTGCAGCTCCATTTTTTTCAGGCTCGCACATGAAATGGTTACTGTTTGGCTTGTTCAACCTCTCGTGTTTATTTTCTGGGTATCCCCACCTGAATCCAAAATGCCCCTTTGGCCCTCTGTTGCTTTCTGGCACAGGAGGAGCCCCTCTCCTTTCTTTTTCCACTTGACCTAAGTGCCTTGGAGCAGCCCCTTTCCGAACAAGGCAGTCAGCAGGCCCTTTCATCATTGAGCCTTAGCCTGGCTGAGACTGACTGATCTGACATGGGCCAACTGATCCAAGGCCTCTCTGTAAAGTCAAGAGGTCACTACCTCCCTATGTTGTTTACCAAGAAGTAGACTCCTCAGACTGGCCTCTTGGGAAAGGAGGCCAGCGGATAGGCACCTAAAGAGCAAATTAATGTGGTATGGGAGGGGCATCTGTGCAATTTCTACAGTTCATTGAGTAGCTAATAATGGTCAAGGCACTTATCTGGTCTCACCTGTCTTCTTTAATTCTCATAGCTACCATAGCCTCATTTTACAGATGAAGAAACTGAGGCTCAGAGATGTTATATGTTTCCTCCTTAATACAGGATTATTCAATAAGCAACCACTTTCCCCCGTGTCCCACTTTCTCTCTACTTAGCTGAGAAGTTAAGAGTGATTGGTTATCTCTCATGTGCAGAATTTAATGAGTTTTAAGAGGGTGTGGTCTGTTGATTAAAATATGTGTTTTTACAAAGAAAAGAATTGGCAATTATATTTTTTTTTCTTTTTTTTTCTTTTTTTTTCTTTTTTTATTTTTTTTCCTTTAATTTTTACTGTTGGTTGTTCAAAACATTACATAGTTCTTGACATATCATATTTCACACTTTGATTCAAGTGGGTTATGAACTCCTATTTTTACCCTGTATACAGATTGCAGAATCACATCAGTTACACATCCACTGTTTTACATATTGCCATACTAGTATCTGTTGTATTCTGCTGC